CAAAGCTAGTATCAACTTGTGTTGACTAAATTGGACACCTCAGTTTTCTCAGAAATCCAGCTCAGCTGAAACATTGAAAGGGAATTTACAGTTCAATCCCAGGAAAACCAGGCCAGGTAATTATTTGCCAGATGAACAATATGGTCTATATGATTCTTCTCTGAGCTGACTTTGTTGAGAAAAGACTGGAAGTGGCAATTATTTAAGCATGAAGTTAAATCATAATCTTGAAGATTCAGTCAAGTTTGCTGTGAGTGTGTATTGCTGTCTTCCACAGCCAACTCATGCTTAACTGTTCTTTGCGTGAAGTTGCTTTGTCAGCAACAAATGTACCGTTTGAAGTAAGTGATTCAGTTCATCCATTAAGGGTATCTACAAATGATACTTCTGTATAAGCTGCTATTGAGAAAAAGCTTATTGTGTTGAGATTAATTTAGTATATTCCACCCTAATAAAAGCTTAAAATAAGCCTTTAAAATCTTTTGTGCTAAGCCAAAGGATAATTCTGAGAGGGAAGCATACAACAGCATTGAAGTTGTATTAAAAAATACACTTAAAATCATTTAAAGTCTGTTAAATGCTGACTAAAACTGTTCAGTTCATTTAGAATATTTAATAAATGGCCTGCATCCCTTTTCCAAAGTTATTGAATTTTTCTATCTCAAAGTTGTTGCTGTTAATTTATTTATGAGTCATACCCTGATAGTCCCTGCCCCATACAGCTTCCGGAACACTGCATTAAAGCAAAATACATTAGCTCACAGCTGTATTGCTGAAAAATGTTATTTTTTAATCATTAATATCCTGACCTCAAGATTATTGATGGCCTTTGATAAGTACATCTGTATTTCTGAATAGGCAGTTCATATCAACAAGCGAATGTTTCCAGTAACAGTGGTCCCTACTCCATGACTTATTTGCTGTTGTAATAACTGTATTTCTTCCAAAGTCTGTGCCATTTATTGTGATTAATTGACATTTCTTAATGTAAGGACAATTCTTCTGAGAATCTGCTAGATTTTAAGAATACTATGTGTGGGTAAATGAATAATTTCCTTTAGAATTTCCTTTATGTACTAAAAATGCTCTTCAATAATTTTTGCAATTTATTTATCCTCAGTGGGAGCCAAGAGAATCTTGTAGTGAATGTTAGTGGAAATTGCAGTGAACTATAGAGGATGTAAATATTGACTGAATATACTGATTCATGCTCATTCAGGAAGATAGTGAGACACTAGAAGAAAAATAATTGCTAAAAGATGTGAATTGACTATTTGGACTATAAATTCTCTGCCTTCTGCATTCTTGACCTAGAAGAGGCTTTGATCAATTTACTCTTAAGGAGTTGGTCATTAGCTTGATTAATTCACTGAACAGTAAAGAGCTAATACCTCCTTCTCAATCCCTCCTCTGGAAGTCTTTCACCATCTCTGTTAGGCAGCATGACTGATCAGCACTGATGGATTTTTTTCATCCAAAACTATTATCTATTTCTTTGTTTTAATTTTCTTTCTTCTCCTACATAGTACATCTGATATATTCCTATGGGAAAAGAAATATACCTCTGACTAGTCCATTACTATATTTAAAATTCTAATTAAATGAAAACAGAGCTACAAATTATCAGTACTTGAATTTTGAAAAATTATTCTTGGTAAAAAACTCAGTATTGTGACAAGAAGATCAGGTTATTAGTTACTATAACTGCAATATTAATTGATTGCTAAGCTGAAATGCGATGAGCCATCTCTTACTTATTCCCACAACTGTCAGTGGGATTTCCACTCATGGAATGAATAGAATTAAATAACCCAAGCCTCCCCCTCTCCTTCCCACACGTATCTCTTCCTCATATTGCATTACTTAATAAACTAATGATATACGAGCAAAATAAATGTGTGTAACCCTGAAATTCTGAATTGTGTTGAAAAAAAGCACTTTCTGTCACACATTGTGTTATAGTTTTTTAATTTTGTTTATTAGCATTTTTAGGTGTTGCTTAGCTTCAGGTAATAAAAAAACACAGCCTGCACCTTGGCATACAAATCTTTATGTAGTTCAACTACTATACTGGAGTTCATGCCTCCCAGTTGAAATGTATTGATCTCAACAGAATTTTACTTTAAGGCTCACTTTGTAGTACCACTGTGTAGCTTTAAAGTAGAAAATAAATGCTTGCCATCTCTGATCTTCAGTGTGGTTGATTTGGAGCATGAGGCTATGGATCTTGCAGTTACTCCACTCCATATATTTTCTGAGTCAGAGGTTCTAGCCTTGTGTTTGACAGCTATGGTCACTTGGTATTTTGCTCATTATCCACAGTATTGTGTATGCATACATACATATGCACATCCATGGAAATATAATGGAAATACTATACTTTATAATAAAGGTATAAATAGATGAATAAAAGTTGACAGAAGTTCCAAACTATGAAATGAGACGAATATTGGTTTCTAAAATTTTTTTACAATTAAGCATAGTATTTGTGGTGCAATGCATAGCCTAATTTATTTCCCTTACGTAAATAAAATTACTATCAAGTTGTAGATCCATCTAACCATCCGTTTATTCAGATGTGTAGAGCCATATATAAGCCCTGTCCCTGTAATTACAGAAGAGTGGCAGTCATTAGTGAATTTATTCAAACACAATTTCTAGCGATGCATATGCCATGAGTAATTTTTCCCAGTATGAATCTTATTGTTCAAAAGGTCAGGAAAGTGTAAAAACTAGGCAGTTACAAGATTCTATGTTGCAGTTGCTTTCCTAGTTAGTTATTTAAGCAGGAACCAGAGACACTGAAGTTCTCTCGCATAGCACAGTGTTCAGTCACCTCTCACCAGCGAGCAGTGGTATCATGAAAATTACCAGTTAAATAAACACTTTTGTAAAATTCTGTGTCTGTCTTCCTGACCTAGTTAAAGATGCAGCGGGGGTGGGCAGATGATCTTTAAAGGTTCCTTCCAAGGCGATGCATTCTGTGGTTCTATGATTCTCTGTATGTTACTTCATAAAGTAACTCCTATTATTGTCATCTACAGACTGAATAGACCTCCTATTTTACAAATGAATGGTTAAAAAGATTAGAGAAACTGCAGTGTGTCTTGCTAGCCTTAATCCAGCAGCTCATATCTGCAGAGCTCAGGACCTGGTCCCAGATTCAGATCTGTAGCAAACTGTAGCAAACTGATGTAGAGCTCTGCTTCATGCTGCACGAGTGATGTAGACTATCATTGCTGCATGCTCTGAGGCAGCCTAATGCCCATGATCCATTTATCGCTGGAATAATTTCATCTAATTTGAGTAACAGTTGGATTAGTTACAAAAATATATTTTATGGATAGGGTTTATTCCTGATTATACTACAAATACATCAAATGTCAAATATTCCTCAGAAGTATAAATGTACTGATTTCTCCAGAGATATTTAGTAAGTGTTACACTAGTAGGGATTTAAGTGGCTTATAACATAATTTTTATTTTATGGAGTAAAATCTATTTATAAACTTTGATCTATGATCAGTCTCAGACTTCAGTTGACTTCAGTTTTGCAAGATAATTTGCCCAAATCCTTTCCTCTACACAAGTCCTGCTCTTGCAAAATAAATTACTGATTTTGGCCTGTGCCCCACTGTCAGAAAATCTCACAGTTCTTGTCCATTCTGCTTCTCTTGCACTCTGCATTAAAGATAATTCTTTGTCCCTAAAAAACAGAAACATTTCTACTATTCAGTATTTCTACTTCTGGCATCATGCTTCCTCCTAGGCATCTTCCTATAATCTCTTAGACAGTATTAGGTTTATGTGATGATTCCTCTCCCAGATACGCATCTGCAAATACTGTTAGCCAAATTCCCGTCAAATAAATTTCCCAGGAATCCTGTTCACTCAGGAGAACTGACCAAAGTCTTAACCTGACAAGCATACTGTCTGTTACAAAAATCCCACTCAAAAAATACTTTGTACATCATTGCTTTGTGTTGAATTCACACAACTTGGGCACTTTCATAAAGACAGCAATAGAGAAATAGATCTATATAATAAAATAATGCCCTCAATTCAATTAGTATTGCTTTCAATAAAGCGTTTTAAATGTGGTGGTATGCTTTACATATGGTTGTGTCATCCTATCTCTGAGGTTTCTTGCATAATTGCATGAAGGAAAATTCATTATCTCACTCAGTAAGTGATTTGGTTCTTGGAATACTCCAGGAGACCAAATGATATGGGCAAATAATGTTCCTAGGTCTGGTAGGTTTTTAGAAGTGTAGAACTGAAGTGCTGAATCTGTTTTATTCTTTGTAATACTTTTTCTACTTTGTATGTAACTTTTCTAACTTTTTGAACAACTAAGAACTGTGGAAGCTGATTTGCAATCCAGTCGTCTATAGTATCTTTACTACTATGATTTTGTTACCCTGCCTTCAATACGAATACGGATCTCCACACAGGAAGAATTAATTCCTTATAATACTTCTATTGTACATGATGAGCATGTATACAGGGTGTTCACTGAAATGTATTCACCCTGGCATTGCTCTGTAATGTCATTTGCTTTGCATGTAAGTATCAAAACATTTTTAGTACCATTTTGGAAGACAGAACAGATGGACCACTGGTGTTCTCAGATATAGCAGAAACCCCTCTTTCTATAGACGTTCCCACCAGTCACTGTTTTAGACGTCCCCTCAGGATTTTTTAACTCATTGATTAAGCTTCAATCCACCATCGCTGTGACATCTTTATAGAAAAATCTTCCCTTTGCCTTTGCTTGAATATCTTGCATTTGAGTGTCTTTTACCTTCTGGAATGTGAGCAGCAGGAGAGAGGGAAGATATCAGCTGTGTCCAGCTTTCCAGTGGCCTCAGTATGTCTACCAGAGAAGACATTTAGTGATGGGCTGAGTCAATTCTACAGACGACCTCTGCTCCTGTTAAACTAGGTTTTAGTTGTTCATCTGTCCATACCGCTATTGCTTCAGTCTGCCATCTTCTCAGTTTCCTTGTATTAATTTTCTGTAGGAAGCTTTTGGACACTGAGGATGAGCTCTCTGACATCCAGTCGGATTCAGTCCCGCTGGAAGTGCGGGACTGGTTAGCTTCTACATTCACAAGAGAAATGGGAATAGTGAAGAGGAGACCTGAAGAAAAGCCCAAATTCCGAAGCATTGTGCATGTTGTACAAGCTGGGATTTTTGTAGAAAGGTGAGGGCTTTGTTTTCTTACTACAGAAAGTACCGCATTGTCTGCAGTGTCTGCCGTTGAAAGTCCATTAAGTGGTGGATTGAACCTGAAGCCAGCTTGAGAATTTAGGTTTCAATTTCTGCAATTGCTCTATTTTTCTATACAGAAATCCAGATGAAACTTCTGAATCTATAATGAAATCTCCTGGATTTTGGAGAATTCTGAGAATGAACTTTATGGCTTTGAAAATTCTACACTAAAGTATGCCAATGTACTTTTTATGTTATGCACTAACATAAAAGAGGAGTATACCAGCAGAGGGGCTTTTCTCATAAGTTCGTAAAAAGATTTATGTTATCTTTGGGATCAGACCCTTAAATGGCTTAGTGTTATTTTGCAAACTGTGAAAGATAAACTAAAAATGGAGAAATTGTTCCAGTACTTTTTAAAAGAGTGCTATTTCTTAATATTTTATTTGTTCTTTTAGGATGTACCGGAGAACTTCTAGCATGGTTGGTTTGGCTTACCCAGCAGAAGTGATAGAAGCATTTAAGGTGAAAAAAGTTGAATAATTGTGAAATTTGAATGTATTTGTTCTTTTGTTTAGTGACCTTTAGGGTGAATTGGATATATTTTTCTACTGAACATATCCTAGCCGTCGTTAGTACTACAGAACTGAGCTCATGGAACAGAGAAATTAAGTTAAAAATTCACAAATAGCATATGATTCTGATTATTGTTTCATTAGTTGTGATTTCATTTAGATGTTGTTAGAGAGTAGGATGAAATTTGTATAGAAATCATTATAGAAATGTGAGATAAGGTTTTATCAGCTCCCAGTGGTATGATAATCAGTGTTTCAGACAGCAGCATTTGTTTCCTTATTAGGAAAGAAAAAGAAGTAGTAGTATTGGGATAGAGCTGCATAGAAGCTGCAGCTAATGGAACAAGTACAGTATTTGCTGTGAATTTTAGACATGACTGTAGTTCACCCAAAAGGCAATCTTTCCTAGTAGTAAAGTTCCTACGAAATGGTATTTCTTGAGAATATAGTACCTCACCTTTTTCTGTGAAGGGCAAACTGTTATATTATTCTCAAACTGCTATATGTTTATAGTGTTAATGACATTGCATAGTAGCCTGTGTAAAGGATGTGTATTCTCATTAGCTCCACAATGTTCTATAGACAATTTCTATGCAGAAAATTAAATTTGAAAGATTAAGGCCTTCTATTCGAAGCATACAAAGTCACATAGGTCATGTTACAAGTATTTTATTCCTATGTGGCACAAATATTTTTATCACTAATATTGAAATAGTCAAGAATGTGTTACCTGCAGTAGGAGTTTGAAAGAGTTGGACAATAAAAGAACACCTAACGCTCCCTGTTCCCTCCAAAACCCCCCAAAAAATCTTTTCCAGTGATTAACTGAAAACCTACTTATACAGATGGAGAGTCAATGTGTTGATTTTTTTTTTATTTTCCCCTGATCTACAGGATGTTGATAAATGGTCTTTTGACGTATTTGCCCTACATGAAGCAAGTGGAGAGCACAGTCTGAAATTTATGATGTATGAGCTTTTTACCCGATATGACCTTTTGAGCCGCTTCAAGGTCAGAAACTGTCCACAAATAAAACTATGTATGCAAAAATAGCTATGTAAAATTTAAAATGCAAGAAAGCCAGGATATATTTGAAATGTTTTTGGTTTTTTTAATTTACAATGTGATGCAGAATTTCAAAGAATATGGCAAACTGAACATTGTAATATGCCAGTAGTTCTACCAAATGGAACTTCACTCAGAGCATGCAAATTTTTCCGCAACCCAAAAAATTGGCATTGCTACGTAGACCCATGTCAAGACAGCTTGGGCTGGGATATTGCTAGTGAGCAGCTAAATGCTGTAAGCAGTAAATAAACAGAATATGTATACAGACGGTTTACTCAGCAGTACTGTGTCAGTGTCCTAGCTTCATGGAACAAAGATTTCTAATATGGCAGAAAACTGTAGTTAGTCTTAAGTGCTCTTTTGTCATCTAGATCATAGTGTCTTGCCCACCATTACTCCGGGGTTTCAGCTGAACCTTTCTTTCCTAGCTAACTTGGAGTATCTATAAAGAAAAGGCTGCTTTTCTGTGCTGTTTGCAGGGTGTCACAATACGATATGGAGTACTGGTAACCAACTTTGAAAGTCTGAGATAAAAAATGGATCAAAATGCCAAATTTATAATTATAATTGTACCAAATGAAAGTTTCATTGTAGTTTCCACATCTCTGGACTGCAAAACCCCATACTCCTTTCAAAGAGGCTGCCTCACCTTGAAGCTGGTTTGAATATTTAATTTTAACCAGTAACTCAAACTTGGCTTTTTCCACCAAGCTTTTACCTTCAAGGTCTGGGCGCTTCAAGTCAGAACCACACCAGGGCTACCATTAACACCACAGTCAGAAAGTACTCAGTGTTACTGGCTCAGTGGGCTTAAGCCACTTGCACCACTTTTATATAAAGAAACCTTAAGGAAAGTGTCATTTCATTATATGGGAAGACAAATGGGACTAGATAGTACCTGTACATCTTATCAGACTCTTATCTGTCATGCCTTTATTATATGAGCAATCTTTGCATTTGTGTTCAGACAGACAAGCATGTCTTGAAAACTATTTGTTTGATAGCTCTGCAGTCTCTTGTACAGTAACCACATGTGTGCATAATGTATGTAGAGAGATATAACATCTACAAGAAATGGGTGAAGACTCCCTGATGATACTAGACCTTTAAATTTTAAATTTTCCTTTTGTAGTTTGTTAACTAAATTCTATCATAAATTTATTTGTGGTTTATTTGTTGCATGATTGACTTTACGGCTGTTGCAGGAAAAAAACAGCATTCATTTTAATTTTTGCTTCCCCCCAGATCCCTGTTCCAACTATTATTTCATTTGCTGAAGCTCTTGAAGTTGGTTACAGCAGATACAAAAATCCATATCACAATTTGCTCCATGCAGCTGATGTTACACAAACTGTGCATTGTATAATGATTCACACTGGTCTCATGGTAAGAAATACTGCAAAGTTCAATTTACTTCTTTTCTCAGACTCTGCTGTTTGGATAAATCTGTATGTGTGTCATTTCTTAAGGAAAAAGCTCCCTTGAAAATTGTGCAAAGATAGATTCCAAACTACCATTCAGGCTGTGGCCTTTATGTCATTTTATCAGTTCTTCCAGACCGGAACTCTCCTGATGCAGAGGAAAAAAAGAGAGAAAAATCCTCCTGAAATGCTTTTTGCTCTTGGGTATTATATATCATGCTAGAAGAGATCCATTTGTAGCAGTGGGCAGGTGAGAATTCTTCACTTCCACACCAAAGCCTGGGAGGTGTGATCAGGCAAGGACGCTTTAGTACCTGCTGAGGTCCAGGCCATTGGAAGATATACTGAATCAATGCAGGCTTACTCAAATACCCTGCAGCTGCTTTGTCTTTTACTTCATAACCTTATTTAGTACTGCTTTTGCATACTGTATGTGCCTATAATAGGCAGGACATTGCATTTGCCTTGCATTATTGCAATATCCCAATATTTTTTAGTATTTGCTTTGGGAACTGAAGTGAGTCTGTACAAACATTTTACTCTAAACACTTAAATGCAGGTTTAATGCCAGCAGTGAGAGTCTCTTCGCTATCAGCTTGCTAGACAAAAGCTTTGCCTTTGGCTTCAGTGGAGGCAAGACCATATCCCTAGACATTGCAAGTTTTGATTCTGCCCTTTGAAGGAAGTGTTTTGCTTCTAAGCATCAAGTTTGTAAAGCTGCATTTTAACAGAAGTACTACTTGGAGGGTGAAGACTGCGGTCTTCACCAGCCAAGATTCCTTTTCACATTGAGATGTTTTCTTGAGAAAGTACTTCCATATAGGCCTGAAACACAGGCGAGCCAGCTCTTGCCAAGATGACTCCAAACCAAAGTTGTTGTATACGTTGTTCACCTATCAAAATACCATTTTAATAAAAGAAAAATCTTGTCGAGATTAGATGGTGGTTCCCATCCTACCCTGTCTTCTACTGTAAGATCAACTGCAAGCATTAAGTGATGTGATACATATGTTTGTTGCAGGTATACACCTGGCTCAACAATTTAACGGGGTGAAAAATCCCTTTGTTGTTTTATGCATTATAAACATCTCTTTGACATGTTGCAACTGTTCCCCTCTGCCCTTCAAAAAAGATAACAGCATTCAGATTTTCTTTGTGATGCCAGGACAGGGTTCCAACTTGCAGAGCTATCTTAGGGATGTTTAGCCATTGGTGAAGCAACATTGCAACACACTTTGTGTATCTCTGAAGACTGAAGGAAGGAACCCATTTCGTATTTGAATATCTGCTGTTCCACTGGGTGCACATGAGAATGAGAAAGACCTGTCCAACTCAAGTTTTACAATATAAGCGTTTTAATCTTTTAACTGCACTTTGATGTGGTTTGGACAACTATATTCAGAAAAGCTTAGACTTTACTGCTGGTGTTTCACTGTAAAACCTCATTATTGTTGCAGTGCTGCTACAAAAAAAAAATTCCTATAAAATTAGGCCAGGTTTTAAATATTCACATTGAGGTAGCTGAATTATGGCATTGGAAAGTTCTTGGGAAGATATCTAACTAGGACAACACTTAGCCAAAAGTGCTTTTAAACAGATGTAGCTTGCCAGGCTGAAGGAACATTTGTAGAAATCAGTGTTTGGAAGAGGGCCTAGTGATGCTGCAGCTTGCAAAGTATTTCTGTCCCAAATGTCATTTGCAGTTTGAGAATACATCAGTATCATGCAAATGTTCTATTTAACTTGTTGGTTTATTTTTTTGGGGGAGGGGTTTATTTTTCCAGGTTAACCCTACAGAACCCTAGTCAAAACCAACTTGAAGTATGCTTCTCAAGCTAATAGTTTTCAGACTGTGTCCATTGTAATGCCTCTTTTAACTCTGCTCTATTTTCTAACAAATACCTGGATATGAGTAATTTTGATGCAATTCTACTTCAAATTCCTGTTTTTGCATATTGGCATGGAATTTGAAGTTCTTGTGCTTTCATTGTGTCTTATGACTCCCAAATCAGGCAAACAATCACTGTCTTCCTTGTTCACTTCTGAAAGACATACTGAAACAGATGTTTCACAAAGCTGTGTTTTAGAAAATCCTTTTCACGATTCCTGTTGTTGAGGTCATACATTTTGTATCTTTTTTTGGCACCTGGAAGACAGTCATATTTGCACAGCATTTGCCAAAAAATTTGGCTGGTCAGAGTTTATGTTTCTTCACAAGCCTTTAGAGAGATTCAAGGGAAGAATAACACCTACTCAGAGTCACAGTTAAAGAAGTAAAATGATCATTGTATTTTTCAAAAGTTACTGTCTATCTTAAGAAACAAGATTCAGCCACCTCAGATCAATGAGTTAGAAAGTTAGATATCACAGATGGCACACAAACTATTAACATTCCCAAGAGATTAAATCTCAGATGATCCGACTGAAATCTATAACTCAAGGTTGCAGTTGTGAAGTCTTCATCTGTATAAAGATTTAAGAATCCAAGTCCTAGGGAATACATCCCTTTTGGGGATGCACTTTTGGGTCATCGATCATCTTTCCAGCATCCCTTTTCTCCTCCCACATACCTGTATTGCTCAAACTAAAGGAAAAAATGTCTTTACTGTCAGTAAGCACATTGCGAGACTCCCTTTCTTACTCATTTTTTAATCCATCATTGTTTAAAAAAATAGCTTGCACCAGAGCTCATGAAAAGTTGAAATGTATCCATTTGATTATAAGCAATTTACAATACTGGGAATCATCTCTCAAAAGAAGAGATCTTGTCTGATAAATGTTACACCTCCATGGAATAGTATCTTCCAGGAGGGAAGCAGGTTCCAGCTCTTTGCAGTCCTGTACACCTGTAGATACCTGCACTTCCCTCTCTCTTTGAGAAAAAACGCTTGTTAACTGTCTAAGAGCTTTCTCCTACTTCCTTAGAAATCCTTTAGTTAAAGTAGTTCTCCGATTCTCTCTGTTTTGCATACTGGTATGAATTTTGACTGTACAGCTACAGTCACTGGAATCATCGCTCTCATGTAGTACCATATGAAGTTTCTGTGTAGCCCATAGATAATTGTTTGTAAGGCATGCTTTTCTACTTATAAATGCATTGTCTAGCAAATATTTTGGTTACTACAAAAGCTGAACATCTTTGAAAAGATGTCTTAAAGAAAAATTTTATGTTTAGCTTTAGTTACTAATTCTGTATTTCTGTTCTATTTGGGATGTTGAAAACTTTGTGAAAGCGAGGACTGGTCATGGCCTGGTTTCTTGTGACACACAATATGATGAAGGTCATAATTTCCATTATTAGAACTGGTTACAGTACATTCTTATTCCTCTGTTGTGACCTTTTCTAATCTGTACTGCTTCCCCAAAAGGCAGTGACTATTGTTCCTCAGCAGACTTACTTTGTTGCTGAATGACCTTTTTCGTTATTCTTGCATTACTTACAAATCTTGACCGCTTCCTTTCTCCTTCTTTGAAAGAAGTACAACTCTTGGGAGCTTATACGGCTTCTGGCAGCTTATACATCTTATATCTATTCATATTCATGTATGTGCATATATGGGTGCATAAAGATTAGATCATTCTTCAATCCTTTAGTACAGAAATTACTTCTACACTAAAAAAGTCTAAAATACGTGTGGAAATGCTTGACTGGCATTTGACTTAATCAGTCCTGTGACTGCAGGGGTTAATTATCATATGATTTTTCCGCCCCCATTTTTAGATGGAGTAAATTTTCTCCTCCAGGATGATTTCTTATTCAAGAAATAAAATTTGAAAGATAAAATTACAGAGGTTCCTTTACAAACCGAGTGGCACAGAACAGCCTCAGTTAGCAAGAGGTATAGTAGTGCAGAAAACTCTAGGGTCTGCATTATTTTGTGTACATGACCTGTACTACCTTTTGTTCTGTGTAACTGTATGCTAGCCTTATGCGTCCTTTTTTGCATTGGTACAAAGTGTGATAAAATTTAGAACAGGAAATCTCCCATGGGCCTAATTTTAGTGCTATGTACACTGTTAAAATATAGTTAATGCTGATGTTGTAACTAGAATTTATTATGAACTGTGTATATTGTTCACTAAAAGACAAAGTTATGACCTTAACTTCCTCTCAAGTTTTCAGATGAATATACCATAATTTAGCAAGTGACACCTATGAGATACCAGATTAGATACTTCCTACTCAAAACAGCCACAATGTATGCCATGTAATTATCTCAGTAATTTCTTATCTTTTTAACTGCCAGTATTTACTTTGCAAGTGAGCATAAGGATATTAACTCAGCCTTAGAGAAATCATAATAAGTACAAGAAGTTATTTTACTGTATAATAGTGAAGTGTTATGGATATATAGTTACCTGGAATCTTAAGACAAGAATAAAGTTTACTTAAGTTAAGGGTAATGCAAACCCTTTCCAGTACTGTAGTGTTTAATCTGAATTAGGCTCTTACAGAAAACACGGCTTAAGATTTGTTTTTTGTTTACCAGCACTGGCTCACAGAACTGGAAATTTTAGCAATGATCTTTGCAGCTGCCATCCATGATTATGAACACACTGGGACCACAAACAACTTTCATATTCAGACAAGGTAAGTGAAGTGGTCTCTTAAGTGTCATAAGAGTTTGCTATACTTTGGTCTGAACTGTTTCGTACCTTTTACTGATACAGCCAGAAAACGGCCAAGTCATTCCAAATTTTACAAGTTGCTTCCTTGACCTATGTACAGTTAATGGGAGTGCTCACATGAACAAAGGCAATGTGGAAAAATAAGGAGCTAGCTAGCCTGTGTCCTCCCATAGCACATTTTGACAGCATTTTCAGTAGTTACCAAAAAAAATCTAGAGAGAAATACAATTTGGCAGTCAGGCCAACTGTGTTCTCATGGAGGTACAGTGTGTCATCGTAGCTTCTGGCCCCGAATGATGACATATACCTCTACCTCTCTCTCTCTTAAAATACTTCCAGCTTCTCAACGGAAAATCACTGACCAATAAATTGCTGGGTAATAAATGGTACACCTGATACATAATCTCATGCAAAGTACCTTACTGTTCTCCCACACTAGGCTATAATTTGTTTCTAGTATCCCCAGTTGAGGAAACTGCTTTACCTGCTCTTGAAAAAAAAATTCAGCAAAACACAGGTATATTCTAACAGAACAGCTCTGTCCTAGAAATGCTGCTACTTTGAGCAGAAGTGTCCTCACACTCATCTATATGCATAAAGTACCCAGTGGTTACCTTTAAATTAAACCCATAACGCACTTGTGCCCCGGGATGTGCCCTTCAATAATGAACAAATTCTAGATCTGCAGTTGAAGTGAAGACATAGTTCTTTTCTCCCTCAGGATAGTCTGGCTAAAAATAAAGTTCTGTTTGTAGTTCCAAGTTTAGGGTAGAGTTAGACTAGATATTAGTAAGAAATTCTTTACTGTGAGGGTTGTGAGACACTGGAACAGGTTGCTCAGAGAAGTTGTGGATGCCCCCACCCTGGAAGCGTTCAGGGCCAGGTTGGGTGGGGCTTTGGGCAACCTGGTCTAGTGGAAGGTGTCCCTGCCCATGGCAGGGGGGTTGGACCAGATGTTCTTTAAGGTCCCTGTGATTCTATGATTCCTTTGTCCTTAATATTTTGCTCTGAAATATTACAAAAGTGGAAAATTAATTAAGCTGTTAGCCTTTGACTTTTTCTTGGGCATACTCGTTTTGTGATGGAGCTCATTCTTCCCTCCTAGTGGAACCTGGCCCTGATGTGGCATCCCAGGGCCATGGTTCAAGGCCTTTTTGTCTGAGAAAAACTGTTGAAATGGCTGTCATAGTCACAGCAAATCTCAGCACTGTTTAACACTAATCATAAGTAGTTATGTGGATTAAAGTGTGCTGCATGTGCATAAGTGATGGACAAATCACAGATTTCTTCATTATTTTAGCAGGATTATAGTTGTAAACATACACATTATTTAGGTAGTTTATGGTTTGTTTCCTTTTGTTGAGTGTACACAGAATATGTACTATTACTCAACAGAACAAGAGGTTTAATTTCCTTTATTAGTATCATAGTAAGCTATATATATACATAGATAGTTGGTTTATATTCAAGGACCACTTCTTCCAAGCTCAAGATCAGAGCATCCCAACAGGTAGAAAATCAAGAAAGGGAGCCAGGAGACCTGCATGGTTAAACAGGGAAGTGCTGGGTAAACTCAAGTGGAAGAAGAGAGTCTATAGATCATGGAAGAAGGGGATGGCCACTTGGGAGGAATACAGGACTGTTGTCAGAGGATGTAGGGAGGCAACTAGGAAACCTAAGGCCTCCTTGGAATTAAATCTTGCAAGGGCTTCTTCAAATACATTTCAGACAGAACTAATGCTAGAGGCAATGTAGGCCCACTGCTGAATGAGGTGGGTGCCCTGGTGACAGAGGATACTAAGAAGGCGGAGGTACTGAATGCCTTCTTTAGTCTCTGTCTACACTGCTGGAGACTGTCCTCAGGAGCCCCAGACCCGTGATGCCCCAGAGGAAGGAAGGATACTGTTGAAGTTAGCCTTGGTTGTTGAAGACTGGGTTAGCGATCAATTAAGCAATCTGGATTATCCATAAATCCATGGGCCGTGATGCGATGCGCCCACGGGTGCTGAGGGAGCTGGCGGAAGTCATTGCTAGGCCACTCTCCATCATCTTTGGTAAGTTGTGGGCAACAGGAGGGGTGCCTGAGGACTGGAGGAAAGCAAATGTCATTCCAGTCTTCAAAAAGGGCAAGAAGGAGGACCCGAGTAACTACAGACCGGACAGCCTCACCTCCCTCCCTGGATAGATGATGGAACAGCTTATCCTCGACGCTGTCTCTGGGCATATCAAGAATAGGAGGGTCATTAGGAGAAGTCAGCATGGTTTTACCAAAGGGGAGTCATGTTTGACCAACCTGATAACCTTTTCTGAGGACATAACCAGGTGGATAGATGATGGTAGGGCAGTGGATGTGGTCTGTCTAGACTTCAGTAAAGTATTTGACACTGTCTCCCATAGCATCCTCTTAGTTAAATTAGATCTAGGTGATCAGGTAGTGAGGTGGATTGTGAACTGGTTGAAGGAAAGAAGTCAGAGAGTTGTGGTCAATGGGACAAAGTCTAGTGAAGTCCCCCAGGGGTGGGTACTGGGACCAGTACTATTCAATATATTCATCAGTGACCTGGATGAGGGAACAGAGCGCACTATCAGCAAGTTTGCTGATGACACAAAACTGGGAGGAGTGACTGACGCTCCAGAAAGCTGTGCTGCCATTCAGCGAGATCTGGACGGGCTGGAGAGTTGGGCGGGGAAAAATTTAATGAAATTCAACAAGGGGAAGTGTAGAGTCTTGCATCTGGGGAAGAACAACTCCATGTATCAGTATAGGTTAGGGACTGACTTGCTGGGGAGCAGCACAGTGGAAAGGGACCTGGGGGTGCTGGTGGACAGCAGGATGACCATGAGCCAGCAATGTGCCCTTGTGGCCAAGAAGGCCAACGGCATCCTGGGGTGTATTAGAAGGGGTGTGGTTAGTAGGTTGAGAGAGGTTCTCCTCCTCTACTCTGACCTCCTGAGACCCCCATCCGGAATATTGTGTCCAGTTCTGGGCCCCTCCGTTTAAGAAAGACAGGGAACTGCTTGAAAGAGTCCAGTGCAGAGCCACAAAGATGGAGTGAGTGGAGCATCTCCCTTATGAGGAACAACTGAGAGAGCTGGGTCTCTTTAGCTTGGAGCAGAGGAGACTGAGGGGTGACCTCATTCATGTTTATAAATTTGTAAAGGGTGAGTGTCAGGAAGACGGAGCCAAGCTCTTCTCTGTAATGTCCAATGATAGGAAAAGAGGCAATGGGATCTGGCTTTAGGAAGCACTTGAATGCAATCAAATTTCAGCTTAGCAAGTTTTCCTTTCCATTGTTATGAGGCTCTAGGTTTGACTGTTTTTCTGACAAAAGATAACACCCATTTAAGACATAGGAAATTGGAGTTTTAAAATATTTTATTATATACAGCTCCTTCTGATTATGAGAGACATGGGCCAAAACACATCTCTCAGAACAGAGTTAGTAATACCCATGCTATTTGTGGAGCTACCTGTTAGTGAATGCATTGCATTTTAAATTGTATTACCAAAGAGTACACTTGAGTAGCCTAACTAGAGCAATTCTGTTGCTCTATGATTGTATCTACAGTCTAGCAGCTTAAAGATCTCCTCACAAATTTTTGTCACAGTCATATCACATAGATAAACTTTAGACATTTAAAAATATTACTTTCCCACAAACAGTATATACAATGGTGAAATGATAAATTTTTATGCATGTAGAATGGAAACTTTATCAGTATTTGATACACTAGGAACAAATAAACATAGTTTGATATATGTAATCATTAATTCTTATAGAGAATGCACAGTCCTACCTTCCACAGTGCTGTTTTTGGCAGGCTATAGCAAATTCTGCTTTTTCTTTTTATCATTAGGTCAGATGTTGCAATATTGTACAATGATCGTTCTGTTCTTGAAAATCATCATGTAAGTGCTGCTTATAGACTCATGCAAGATGAAGAGATGAACATCCTGGCAAATTTAACCAAAGATGAGTGGAGGTAAGAGCTACCATGACTTAATTCCGGTATTTAAAAATAATAAAATATCAGGCCTTCCCTGTGGAGACTATTTTAGAAGTTAAAATTTCAGGATGTAACTTTGTCACTGGAAGGAGTAATGGATATTTAGAGCTTAGGGAAGGCTGCTGTGGTATGAAGAAGTACTGTTTGGGATACTCCATATAATTTTCCAAGTAAGGTTGTGCATTTACAAGGCACAGTGTTGGACTGTGTGAACATTTCCTCAGGTGAGGTGATAGCTCTTCAGGAAAACCACGGTGCTGCCTCTCTTGAGCTAGGTTACCATTGTCTAACGGTAGTTTAAAACCTCAGTGCAGAGTCACACTCTGCTGCCAGCTTGAGCACTGCTTCCTCTGGGATTTCTGCTGTGTAACACAACACAGCATAGTCACTTCTTGGTTAAGCATTACAAAATGAATTATCTGGAGAGTCCAAAAAAGACCACCGTAAATGAGTATAGTTTGGAATCCCTGCAGCAACATGCAGTTGCTCCAGCTGACAGAAATCTGGCTGCCAGCTAGCAAGGTGCATCCCAGTACTTCCCTTTTATTATGTCACTGGGAAAAAAAGAATAGGATTTCCCGGAGAATCTTATTTTAGTTGTGTGAATTTTTTATGTATATAGCAGCTGCACAGATCCAGTCCACTACTATATGCAGCCAGTTTGAAGTTGGTAGGATTTGGCAACCAGAGAAAGTTGAATTTGTGGTCTCTTGTTGTGGCTATTCAGTACAAATTCGAAGAGATGTATGAACTGACTAATAACCTCAAAGAACTAAACAAGGACACTCAGTTTCATGTTTTGTCACTTAGCTTGTCAATTACAGTCTGTACTTTCAAACAGACCAGTAAATTCTGAAGTGTCAGTCTGAGAACCTGCATAACCTGTTGAAGTCTGATATTTCATTTAGAGGGTCAGTCATGGAAATGTTAGTTTCCTGGTATTCATTTCTAATATCCCAAAATTCCTGTTACCCTGTCATTGGATACAGATGTTCATTGGTGCAATGACAGGTCTGTTAGCCACTTAAAAGAAGCTCTTCAATTTTCTAATTATTACTAGAAGGAACTTCTTGGATCTCTACTGAAATTCATGCTGTTGGACTGACTGTTTCGGAGTTTGCATTGAATCCAATTGGCAGTAAATGGAAATGATAATTTGTTCAACTTTTTAATGTACTTCCTGGCACTGATTAATTTCTTGACTACTGCCAGATATGTTTTTTTGAGTTGCAGCATTTTAAAAAATTTAACACCACTGCCTATTTAAACTAGTTCTGCAAGATGAAGCAAAATGTCTGAGAATGGCTTTACGGTATTACATTTTCTTTTCTACATGTTAATGTTAAGAAGATAAGTGCACAAATAAACTGTCAGCTTCAATTAAGTTTAAAACATAGAGTTTGGGTCTGAGCAGGGAAACACTGCCAGCATTCTGATGAGGACATCCTTTATGGATAATGCATGTGACATTCGTATTAATTTCTTACTCTTTTCTTAACTCTGAAAATACATTCCAGTCTTTCATATTGTCTTGTTTCTCTCATTTAGTGCCCCTAAATAACTAAAGAAGGATGCCTTCTTGTCCCTCGTTGCTCCTTTGAGTTACCAGGCTTCTAGAGCTCCAGCACCCCAAGTGTAATGTCAAACGTTATAGGTGGTCAGGCAGTATTAATGTCTCAAACCATTCCAGTCATAAGGCATACATCGATATATTGCCTAACTATATAAAAAAAGACTAACAAAAATTATGCACAATATACAATACATAACGAACAGCTTTTCTTTCACAAATTCCTTGGGAGTCTTCTGTCTGAAGAAAGCAGAATTGTTGTAACTGTTAAGATGAACCTTAAGTCTTCAGTTCCCAACTTGCTTTTGCTCATCTTAGCCTGTTCTTGCATTTTTGTCATTAGTTTTCAGCTGACTAAATGTCTTTGTAATGGACAAATCCAGGTAGAGCTGGTTTCTGCATATTGGTTAACTACTTTTCCAAGAAATTCATGTGCCACTCCTTGTCTCTTGTTTGTGGCAGCATTATTCATGTCATTTTTTCACATCATCTTGCATCTATTTTTTTACAGTACCCTATCTGTAAGACATATAGGTATAGGAGGGTTAAGGAAGGATGACAACACAGGAGATGACAGCTTACTTAAGAAAAGTGGAGATTTCATGCTCAAACCCAGTAATCTCCCAATTGTGGGCCCCAAAACCCAGCTATGCGCTGTACGTGAATACACGTCATAGAACTAAAGATGGCGACACCTACGTATCTTTTTGCCATGGTAGCATGAGCAGTGCTAGCTGTATTATCCCAATGCCTGTAGCTGTTTAATGAAGTAGACAGAGATTTCTGTCCAGGAGTTACCTATGAGACTAGCTGAGGTCTCCTTTAGTATGGAAGCTGAGATTGTCTTTCTTTCCTGGGAAACAATTTAGGAATGGTTTAAGGCCAAGAGTAATCTTCCATGCCATGGTAGCAGACTGAGCATCCATAGCTCTAGTAGAGCTTTATTTAACATTTCCCTGTAAGTTCTCAATATTCTGTCCCTCCATTGATAGTGAATGGGGGTGCAGGCAGGAAACAACAGCAACTGTGTGTGTAGAGCTTCTCTTTTGCTCTTAAGCAGCTTTTTAGAGGCCTGAAATCTTCAAAAGTGTGTGAGGAGGACAGTGCTACATTGTTTGATCCTTATTCAGGTGATGGAGGTAAGAATTAGTTTGTCTGCTGCCATGACAGTGTGATTAAACTGAAAGCTGCATTTTGTTTCTCCATGTGTCTTGTGTAGTAGGAGTGAGTTTATTTCTGATTACTCTTAAAAGTTCAGATATGGAAAGTTCCTAGGAAAATCTCCCATGGAAAGTGGTAGTGATATTTATTTCAGTCTTACAAACATTTGGGTGTAACAAAGCAGAACCCTCAGTTTTCATGCAGTTCAGTCAGATGCTGAAGTAGGTTTCTACTGCTGTAATTGATACTTGGACATCCTTAGGTTTGGGGGTGTACTCATGAAGTTATATGCTACATAATCAAAGATTTAATGTGGTGAATTGTCTCCGATATACATATAAGCAACAGTTGCACAGAAATCCTCCTAGGCCATTTCAAAAGCATCTAAATAAATACCCAAGTAGACTCCTATGTGGTCTAGATACAATCCCTCTTCATCAAGGAAACAGAATTTTCCAAATCAGTAATTATTGCTGACATATTTATTGTACTTTCACATACAATCAGAATTAATACACTTTTTTACATGATTCATGTCTTACTATTTTCATATTCATTTAATGGAAAGGTGGTGGACAAGCTAACATCTCTGACCATAATGCCAAGATGTAGATAAATTACAAATCCCAGATTTGTTCTGGTTAGCGAAATAGACGTTAAGGTATTTTTGAGATGAAGGATAGTTTGTCGTAATATTCATATGTTGGTATAATGTTGCTAGTGTTTCAGATGTAATACCTCTTGCTCTTCTGAGTGTTTCTGCAGCCACCTTCCTAGGTGTAGTGTTCGGCCTGCTCCGCACTAATATGAGGGTGGTAATGAAGGACACAAATAACTGGTGACAAAACTGTATGTAATTTTACTTTATATAGTAGAGAAAAAGGGATTACAAAACCGTGTGACTCTGAAATAATGATTGCAGTGTGCATTTTCTGAAGTACATTGCTTTCACTGAATCCCTTTAGGATACAACAGCGATGTTAATCATTTATTTAAATGCTGTTTAAAGCATAATAAAACCTGTGATGTTGTTTAGAAAGTTATAAATAAACAAGTACTGCTTAAAGAAATGTACCCTACCTAGAATAAATGAATGGTAATCCGTCATTTTTCTTTCAATTATTCTTAGGGAGTTGCATAGCTTGGACATTGAAATGGTCTTGTCTACAGATATGTCGAGTCATTTTCAACAAATTAAAACAATGCGACATACTCTACAGCAGTCAGAGAGGTAGGTTATTTTCCATTCTATTCATTATCATTATAGTCTTTCAATGAGCTCATGAACTAGAAAATGATTTAAATAGTTGCTTTTGTCTTGAGGTAACTGGAGCATATCCTTGAATTGACAGGGTAGACAAAGCCAAAGCCATGTCTTTGATTCTCCATGCAGCAGACATA